AACAAAATAATAATCAAAAGTATATACAATAGACAATAAAATAAAATAACCTAAAAAATAAGAAAATTAAAACTAAGGAAAAAAAAAACACATGCATACCTATATACAATCAGGCGAGGGAACTCCAGGAGAACCCTGCGCTACTCTCCCAACCGCGTCACTGGTACTAAAGCCAGCGGAGATTGGTCGAGAGCACTTTAGCCACATACACACATGTCTTGAGTGAAGAATCTGGCCATTGCCAGAACTCCAATTTATATAATCTACAAAAGGTCGCGAGGCCACTGCCGTTTCAACCTTCTTGGAGGATTATAGGGATGGGAGATGCTTGATAGGGATTGTGCAAGAGGATTTGGGTGGTAAGTAAGGTTCTGGTGAAATTTGGAGAATTTTTCTGGGATAAGGTCTAGGACAAATGGGATGTTAAGGTCATGATGTAGGGTTTTGTTGGATACATAGAAAGGAGCATCGACTATTGTTCGAAGGACTTTAGACTGGAAGGATTGGATGCGCTTGATGTTAGAAAATTTTGCTGATCCCCACAGTTCTAGTCCGTAAGTCCAAATAGGTTTCAGTATTGTCTTGTAGATCAGTAGCTTGTTTTCAATGGAAAGTTTAGATTTTCTGCTTAGTAGTCGGTATAGTTGGCCGTATCGTCGGTTGAGTTCTTGTCTTTTGAGTCTAGTATGCGGGTTCCAAGTTAGTCTTCGGTCTAAATGAAAGCCAAGATACCGGACTGTGTCTGAATAAGGAAGCTGGATGGAATTAAAGAGTACTGGTGGACAGGAATTGCGTCGGAGTGTAAAGGTAATATGTTGGCATTTAGATTCATTAACTTTAATGCGCCAGTTATTACACCAGTGCTCAATCAAGGTGAGGTGACTTTGGAGATTTAAGGATGCTATTTCGGGATCAGAGTTGGATGATAAGATTGCGGTGTCGTCAGCGAATGTTGCAAGAAAAGTATCGGGATGAACAGGGATGTCAGCAGTAAAGAGGATGTAAAGCACGGGACCCAAGACGCTGCCTTGGGGAACACCGGCTTTAACGGAGTAGATATTGGAAAATTCTGTTCCACAGCGAACTCGAAAGGAGCGGTCAGAGAGGTAGGATCGGAGGACTAGGTACAAGGACTGAGGTAAATGGATTTTAAGCTTGGAGAGCAGTCCGGAGTGCCATACCCGGTCAAATGCCTGTGCAATGTCCAGAAAGGCACCCGAACAGTATTCCTTGTTTTCTAGGGCTGAGGAAATATGATCAACAACTCGGAGTCCTTGTTGAACAGTAGAATGTTGAGAGCGAAAACCAAACTGATGGGAAGGGATATTTTGGGATTCTATAATGGGTAGGATTCGTTTCAAAAGGATCTTTTCAAAAATTTTTGAAAGGATTGGGAGTAGGCTGATTGGTCTATAGGATGTTGAGCTATTGAGAGGTTTTCCTGGTTTTGGGAAAAGGATAATAGTGGAGTGTTTCCATAACAGAGGGAAGTGGGTGGTGCGTAGGATACAATTGTAGATATATGTAAGGAATATGACTGCTTTGGATGGAAGTTGTCGAAGGATTTGAGGTATAAAGAGATCATGTCCAGGAGCTTTACGGGGGATTAGTTTTTTTAATTGAAATTTCACTTCGGAAGTATGAATAGCTTTTGGGGGCAAGGAAAGTGGGATTGGTGGGGTAAGGAGTTCTTCAACTGTTACGGTGTTGGCAGGATGGGATTCCGGATGTGAAATAAATGTATTGGATAGGTGAATGGCGAACTCCTCAGCTTTATCTTCGTCAGATGCTACCCAGGAGCCATCATCTCGTCGGAGGGGATGGGAAATGCGGTGAGGATTTAGGATTTTTGTTGAGGTTTTCCAAAGAGAATTGTCGCGAGAAGAGAGGGAGGATACAGTAATAATTATAGGAGCAGCGGTCGGTAGGATGTCGGGAACGTTGCCACAATAATCTGGCACGGCGTTTGGTGTGGATTAGGTCAAGGAGGTGTTGGGGTTGAAAGGTCTTTTTAGGAATTCTGGAGGAGTCTTTTGGGAAGGAGGCAGTACAGGCGGCTTGTTGGGTTGTGGTAGTAAAGGAATTTACGGCACTATCAAGGTCATCGGGAGTTTTGAGGGATATATTAAGATCAATTTTATCGGAGATGATTTGGCGAAAAAGGTCCCAATTAACTGGGCCCCTAATAAATGACGGTGGAGAAGGTTTGGGAACAGGTTCAAGTGAAACATTAAGGATTAGAGGACTATGGTCAGAGGAAAGTTCATTTAGACGTGTAATGGAACAATTGAGGGGACTTAAGCTGCTGTGGATAAAGAAATCAAGAAGATCAGGATTACGGTTGGGATCTGTGGGCCAGTAGGTAGGAGAATTGGGGGAAAGGAGGTGAAAACGTTGGGAATTGAGTGCAGACAACAGGGTTCAGCCACGAGAATTCGTGGTTCTGGAACCCCAGTGTTGGTGCTTGGCATTTAGGTGTGCACCCAAGATGAAGTGATGTCCTAAGGAGTCGAGGAGAGAACTGAATTGGGCATTGGATATGGATCGGTTAGGAGGGCAATACGCTGATGCAGGAGTAACCGGAAAGGAGAAGGTTTTTATCACGATAGCGGTGGACTGTAGGAAATCATGTATAGCTAATGGGAGTACGTGATGGGAGAGGGATTGGTGTACAATTACAGCAGTACCGGCATGTGCTTTTCCGTCAGGGTGGTCAGTACGATATGTCAGGTATTGTGCTATTTTGAAGTGCTGTTTAGTGGTTAGTCGAGTTTCAGTAATTAGTGCCACATCAATGTTCTTGTCAAGTAGTAAAGTAGATAGTTCGTCTGTATGATTTCTAACACCATTCGCATTCCAAAGGAGAATGGATATGGGTTTAGGGATGTGAGTCATTTAAGATTTTTTTTAAAGGAGGGATGAGGTGAGATACGAGATTTGTGAGGAGTGATATTAGTGGAGTAACAAGGGATTTGAAATCGGTGAGGAAAGATGCTAACAAACTTGTGAGATCTGTTGCATTTGAAGGAGGAGGAATATGAGGAATTTGTTGTTGATGCTTAGGTATATTAGGATGAAGAGGATTTTGAGGTTGGGGTTGAGGTTGTTGTTGTGGCAGGGCTTGACAATTATCGGTTGAAGTCTTACCTCTAAGTAGTTGGGAGAATGATAAATCATTGTTTACAATTCTGGAAGTCTCTCTCTCTCTTCTTGTTCTTAGTGCTTCATCTTGAATCCGGTTTTTCTGGTGTCTGGTTTTGAGATTCTTGTAAATTTGGCAGCCTTTGTATTTGGTCGGGTGTTTCTCCAAGCATAGGGCACATACTGCTGGATCTTGTATAGGTTTGGTGCACTCTACAGATTTGTGCTGTTCACCGCACTTCACGCAACGCGGCAGATGGTGGCAATATGTCTTCGAGTGGCCATAGGTCTGACAATTATGGCACTGCACGATGTCTCTCTTGGGATATAGCTTCTCAACTTTCACCATTGTTTAGTATATTCTTGTGATATCATATATTTTTTCGATGCCTGGTGATGGCTCCAAGTCCACGAAAAACAATGGTAGTGGGATCATATTTCGTAATCCTGGCTGCTCCCTGTCTTCCTTCAAAACGTTTGTTACCTGGCGTACATTGAAACCAAGCGTTGTTAGTTCTTCTTTAATAACTTCAGTGGGGGTTAAGGAGCGTAAATTTCTTATCACTACTCGTAACGCTCTTTCCTGCCTTAGCTGGTAAGTGTGAAAATTCGCATTTGTTTCTGATAAGTACTTCACTATTTTTCTGTAGGCATCAGCAGAATCAGGTGTTATTTTGGTGTCATTGGTCCTGTTAAGCCATGAATAATTGCCAGAGCAGATTTTATTTAGTTGGGTGCAGAACATCTGGAAATTTTTAATATTTTTCACTAATATCGGAGGAGGCTTTGGTTCTCTGGGTATTGCTGCAGAGTCCATTACTTCTCGGTCATTTTGAAGCACTTGGAAGGGGTTTGAAGTAAAGAAAGGCGATTCTTCAAACATTTCTTGCGAAGACGTGCCTGGTTGGTGCTGAGGTTCTGGTTCTGAAGTGTTCACTTTGGTCACTGGAGGTATTTTTCGTAGGCAGCGACGAGTCCTTTGTTTGGCTGGTGAACCACGTGTTATACTAACGCCGTCTGACCGAGTCCTCTTGGGCACCTTACTGGCCATCACTTGCTGATCATACCGCATATCATAAGAGAAAAAGAAAAAGGAAAAAAGAAAAAAAAATTAAAGATAACAAAAAAAAAGGATGTCAACAGTAAATATCAACTGCTCTGATGTACACTTTAACTGTAGTACGTGAATAATCAGAGAGATTCCGCTATAAAATAGGCAAAACTGAGAGAGGAGTTGAGAAGACAACCTTCGCATCAGCTGATCCACTCAAAATTAAATTAGAAATTGATAAAGTTGCTGGAATTTTGTTGTGTTTTGAAATGTAGGAAATATGTATGAACTACCAAATAAATAAATTATATTGCTCTTTTCCCCTCTTTTCCTTTATTTAGTTCTATAGGGGTACTATAAGTTCTTTATTATAAATGTATTGTTAATTACATTTGGTGGTAGAAGTAAACATCCTGCATACAATATTTTATATCTGCACAGTTTATCGATCGATCGTTATCCATCTTAATTTTCGCCATACTTCAGTTGTATATTCTTACACAGCCCTATATCATCCTCATTATAAGGTACTAATAAACAATGATGGAATTTCGTTTCACTTAATTCCGTAGTTATGATGAAACTAGTTAGATATTACAACTTGTTTTAAAAGATCAAGTTCAAGAAGTTCATGAAAGCAGTACATCTGTTGTTTCATCCTTCCATTTTTATTATTCAAAAAAATAGTTCATAAGTAAACAAATTTTTCTTTTTTTTTTTTTATCACTAATTTCAAATCATTATAAGCAAGTAGTTTATTTTGTAAACGTATGTAATGGGTAAAAATTAAAACAAATAAATTTATCAGATCTGGCGGGGTGTTCGAAGAATCCTTGTATGGATACCTTTTGTGGTCTTGGTCCTTGGTCAGAGGTAGAATCCATTTCTATGAAGTCTCTTCTCGTTGAAGAAAGGGATGTTAGGGTATACATTAGCGTGCACTCTTGCTTGCAAGCCATAATGTATCCACCAGCTCATAGCACTGAAAAGGCAATCGACTTAGAAGAATTGGTAAACCATTTTATAAAGAACCTTATAAACAAGTTTCTACTCAAGGAAAATATTATTATAAAATGTTTTTTTTTGCAGGAAACAGTGGCTAAAGAGATGAGTAATTCTATTAAGTCAAGATGTGGGAGAGAATACCAAGTCGGACAAAGTAGTGTAATAGACAGTAAGTAATGTTCGTAACTATTACATTTGCAACGCGATTTTTTAGATTTGTAAATTGTTTTAAAATTTAGGCCACTTACAACTGACAACTCATCTGTTTAGTATACTTTTATTGAATGACTTACAAAATGGAAGAAAGGAGGACTGACCAGCAGAAATGTTACTTTACAGGAGAGTATCTCGGACCAGAGTCGATCTACGTCTCATGTAGTAGTATAAATAATTATCTGTCACAGCCTGACACTAATTCGGGTCTAAGAGACAGGAGCAGAGTTTCTAATTCACTGAGCTTCCAAGCACGAATACAAATAATACAAAGTCGAATCACCCCTATAAATCCCCTTCGTTAATCTACCCCTTTATTTGTAAGGCAAACTATTACCATTTTAGGAATCCTTTCTCGTGAAGACTTTTTTTTTATGAAATAATGCTTGTTACATTCAATCATTCCCTTCATTATACAATATACAATATTACAATATAGATGATAAATATAATGGATATTTTTTATATAAAGTGTTTATAAAAGTATCTAAAATTATTTTCAGAAATAGCATCGGGTACCAGTATTGATTGGGCTCGGCAAGAACTTGGAATCAAGTACTGCTTCAATCTCGCATTGCCAGGACCAGACGTGGGATACCTACTACCAGAAGATGAGATTGAAAAAGTTGGTAAGGAATTGCATGAAGCTGTAAATGCGGTGTCTCTAATAGCCATAAATTTTAGTAACAGCGACAAGCCGGAATATGTAGACATAACAAAAGATACCTAAATAAAATAAAATTTAAAAAAATGATAGTTCCAAATTTTATGAATGAGCAACTTTTAATTTCACTTACCTATATATGTAATATATAGTAATAGTAAGTATTGCGATCGTGAAAATAATCGAGTTTTCAACGGAAATACACGTTTTGAGGTACACTAAGTCCAAATAACCAAGTCCCGTAAAATGGTCTGTGTGTAAGTGAACACTCTACCTCGGAAACGAGAAGTCGTACGAAACTGATATTACGTATTTAAGATAGGTATATGCCTAAGATGTCCTAGCAACTTTTTCCTTAAAATCGGCTAACCGGTAACAAACATAAAAGTGCCACTTTATATCAACGCTGAAACACAATTTACAATTTTCTCAAAAAGGGCTCTAACGATTTTGATTAAACTCGGTGTATCATTGTATAATTAAGTGGTCTGTAATATCATTTAGGTCTTATCCCTATTGATGTCACTTTACAAGGCTTAAATGCCCAATGTTAATATGCGTCTTCCTCTAAAGTACCTTATACGGTAATATTAATATGGTTTATTTGAAATAATTAACTATCTCTCATTATTAAAAGTTAGGGAAAAATGCTTAATATAATTTTTGAAAGAATTTGATTATTGAATTAAGGAGAAAAAAATAAAAATGCTTTATCAGGACGAAAATGAAACTTCGGAAATACTAGTCAGAAGGTATACTTATAATATACCGTTGGAAAACGGAGAATTTTAGAAAAAACAATATCTAATATAGAAAGTTGTACAAGGTAACGGAGAGTGGCGAAAAAATTATAAATAATGATCTCTTAAAACTAACATTATTTAACGTAAATCACAAGTTTTCAAGGAAATTAAATGAAATTTATTAACTAAAAGTAAATTTTTAAAGTATTTTTGAATTTGAAAAAGTATTTATAATCCACCTAGCCAAGGCAATGACATTGTTAAAAAACTATTTCATTGTACTTGTGTGAAAGAAGTAAAATTTATTTATTTAGTGAAATTTACAACTGTATAAACAATACAAATAGTAAAAATACACACGTTAGAAATAATGACATGAACAGACTTGAAGAGATACTGCCCAGTGGTAGGCACTCCCTCTTTTAATTCTAGGTGAGAAGATAAGGAAGTCATCTTCTTTTCAGACGCCTAGGGGTTTTATCAGGAATGGAGGAAGAAGCAAGGCTGGAAAGAAGTGGATTCGGATGGGACCACAGTTTATCATGAAAGGATAGTTATCTGGCTCGGGCTAAATCAGCGGTATGTGGTACATTAAGGTCTTTATGAATGGATTTATTTGTGACAAAATATGGGGTATTAAGGATTTTACGAAGGATTTTGGATTGTAAGGATTGAATATGATAGGAATTCGATGGTTAAGTAGAGTATTATGAGTCTTTCGTAATTAATTGAAAGTTTAGAGCGTTTGTCTAGTAAGTGTTGGAGCAGTCGGATACGTCGTAAGTAAAATATAAAATCTTTTCATGGATGTATAAAGCATATGTTTATAACCTTAAATACATTTAAGGCAAATGACAAAATAAATATTATCATTTATGTTTGCCTTCTTATTCTACTGATCACCCCAACTATTCTTCTCCTCATTATTCACGACAGTCAACTATTTAACCACTATTTTAAATACATTTACTGTAGTTTAGTGATTAGAGATCTGATATTATATTTAAATTTAAATTTAAATATAAACGGAGTCAAGGCAATGACATTGTTTAAGATACTATTTCATTGTACTTATGTGAAAGAAGAAGTGAAATATAAAAATATTTCATGGGTACGTTTATAACCTCAAATATATTTACTGTAGTTTAATAACTCTAGATATAATATTATAATTAAATAATTAGGTATCTGTCGTCCGTTTATTCCGAAAAAATCATTATATAACCTTTTAGAAAATTAAATTAGGGAATAATTTGATAAATTTTCCCTCTTCGATATTCCAACAGAATCCACTTACAATCAGTGTGACAACTTTTGACCTGTCTATGACAGACAATGCAAATCTCTTAATTCCGTTTTAGTTTTAGTCAGTTCTGCGCATGCTTTAACCTTCCACATACACTCTTTATTTCGTCTCTTATAAAGTGGACTTTATCACCAGTGAAATAATTCAAGTTATAGGTGAAAAAGTAGTGTAAACTGTTAAGTTAACAATTAAGTTGAAACTGGACATAAATAAGGTGAGTAATCACTTATTTATAACGGCATTGTGAACAGTGTAAATAGACCTGAGGTTAGTGATAGATAATAAGCCGGCCATATACATTCGCTAATCCGACCAGTGGGCTCATGCCCTTCGGCGGTGGCAGGTTTATGTTACCCAGACTTCTACAAACTCGCGTAATATATAGGTAATTGATAAAGGACATTTTTTTGCAAATTATTACACTTACCTCTGATTAAATTAATATGAGATGCGCTATTTTCACATGGTAATGTCGAGCAAAGGTAAAAATCCAACTTTAAGATCTAGGGGTCTCGATACCACAAAGAGTTCACCTATCATGAAAAGGGCTAGACGCTCTAAAAAAAATATCCCGCCAGCTACACCAGAGAGCTCAGTAGACGAAGTCGAAAATCAACCTGGCACATCAACACAAGCTATGCCAATACAAGGTACGTTAGAAGAATCGCCCTTTTTTACAGCTAATCCATTCCAAGTGCTGTCAAACACACAGAATGAACAAATGGAAGCAATACCCACCCCTAGTGAACCTATACCTCCACCAATACTCGTTAGAAATATAAAAACATTTCAATTAATGTGTCAACAATTAAATAATATAGTGGGCTCAGGTAAATACTTATGCCAAAGCCGCACTAACGACACAAAATTAATGCCCGACACCCCAGATACGTACAGAAAAATTGTCAAGTATTTATCTGACACTAAGGCGGATTATCATACTTATCAGCTGCGCCAAGCTAGAGCGCTCAGAGTGGTGATCAGGAGATTACACCCATCAACACCGCTGGATACCATTAAAGAAGAACTAACTGAGATGGGGTTCCGTGTTCGTCAAATAGTGAATATATTCAAGGAAAATAGAGAACATCCTGGCACAAAAAATAAAATACCGCTCCCACTATTCTTCGTTGACCTTGACCGAACGCCCTAGGTCGAAGACATCTACAAGGTCACACGCCTTTATTACACTAGAGTTGTTGTAGAAAAGCCCTACACTAAGCGCGACATTGTACAATGCCATAACTGTCAGGCTTATGGTCATACGAAACGCTATTGCCAACACATTCCTAGATGTGTCAGGTGCGGTGATCAACATAAAGCAGAGGACTGCCAGAAGTCCAGAAGAACACCAGCAGTATGCGCTTTATGCCATCAAGGACACCCAGCGAACTACAAGGTTTGCCAAACATATAAGGAACTGAAAACAAGAATTTATGCAGCTCCAAGAGAAGAACGGTCATCAAGGCCACCAAGACAACCCTCTAGAACTGTAAATAAAAGAGTGTCCTATGCTCAAATGTTTAAAGGAGACACTGCACCCACACAAACTAAGGCCCTGCCACAAGAGCCTCAACCTCGAGTATTTACATCTCAACCTCAAGAGCCTTATCCCTTCTCTGAACCTAGGCCTAATAACCAGACATTCATTCCTCCTCCTCCCAATGCCACTGATCTCACAAACCTATTGACTTCTTTCCTCTCTGAATTTAGGTCACTCGTCACTCCTCTCATTTCCTTACTTACCATTGTTGTATCCAACCTCATCCCACTGCCGAGAAATCCTTAAATGTCCCCAATCAAATCCTTCTCCGTTCTCCTTTGGAATGCGAATGGTATTTGAAATCACATCAACGAACTAACAACCTTATTACAGGACAAAAACATTGATATACCATTAATAACAGAAAGTCGACTTACCAACAAACGACCACTTAACATCCCCAACTATCGTATCTATCGATCCGACCATCCTGATGGAACAGCACATGCCGGCACTGCCATAATTATCCATCAATCCCTTTCCCATCATTTATTTCCTTTGCCAACCCATAATTTCCTACAATCCACTGCCATGATAATGCAAACTTCCATTTACCCAATAGCAGTAGTCGCAGCATACTCCCCGCCTAAAATACCCATCTCAGAATCCCAATTAACTTCCTTCCTTAACTCCTTAGGACACCACTTCCTTCTAGGTGCAGACTTACATGCTAAACACCAGCAATGGGGAGCCAGAACCACAAATTCCCGAGGACGAACATTGCTGTCTGTACTTAATTCCCATCACAGCAACATCCTCTCACAAGATTCTCTCACATACTGGCCAACAGATCCTAACCGCAATCCCGATCTCCTAGACTTTTTCATCCACAAAGGTCTAGGGTCCCTTAATTATTGCATTTCAAGACTTCATGATCTTTCCTCAGACCATAGTCCCCTAATCCTAACGGTCTCCACATCATCAATTCCCAAATCACCTCCACCTTCATTTATCAGAGGACCAGTTAATTGGAACCTCTTTCGTCAAATACTGGATGATAATATTGACCTCAGAGTTTTCTTAAAAACACCTGCAGACCTAGATGAAGCAGTATATTCCATGACAACCTTGATCCAACAAGCAGTTTGGACTGCATCTTCACCTCATCCTTCTAAAAAATACCGCAAAATAAATCATCTACCCCAAGACCTACTGGACCTTATTAATAGAAAACGATGCTCTAGGACCATCTGGCAAAGAATCAGGCATCCTGATGATCGGAAATCATATAACTATTATTTCAAGCAGGTAAAACAAAAACTGGCTACGTTTAGATCCCAATCCTATAGTTCCTATCTTTCCTCACTATCTGCAAGTGATAACTTCCTCTGGAATGTAACTAAAAAAATCCATAAATTCCAATCCATTTCCCACCCCCTCCGCCGTGATAGGCGAGGGACACGATCTCCTTACTTCCCAGATCCTCAGACAACTTCCCAAAAAAGCAATTAAATTCCTTACATACCTATTTAACTGTATCCTCCGCACAACACACCTTCCTCTGGTGTGTAAACACTCCAT